AAACACTCCTCAGTATTTCATAACAACATGATACTGGATGGAGACCCAGAGGAAGACCCAGGACACGCTGGAGGGACTATGTTTCTCAGCTGGTCTGGGAACACCTTGGGATTCCCCCAGAGGAGCTGGTCCAAGTGTCTGGAGAGAGGGAGGTCTGGGTCTCTGCTGAGGCTGCTGCCCCCGAGACCTGACCCTGGATAAGAGGAGGAAAACTGATGGACTTTGTGGACTGTTTATTGATGGTATAGTCTGTGTATTTGTAGTATACTCTCAGTGTATGTTGGTAGTATTCTCTGTGTATTGGTAGTCTACTCTCTGTGTATATTTGTAGTATTCTCTTTGTATTGGTAGTATACTCTCTGTGTATATTCGTAGTATTCTCTTTGTATTGGTAGTATACTCTCTGTGTATATTGGTAGTATTCTCTGTGTATTGGTAGTATACCAGTACACGCCTCAGTCAGTGTGTCCCAGGCAGCTGTAGCTTACCATCATCAGTGTGTGTGAATGGGTGAATGTCAGAAACGTAAAGCACCTTGAGGTCCAAGTGGACTTGATAAGGTGCTTTATAAGTTCAAGCCATTACCATTTACTCTCTGTGTATTGGTAGTATTCTGTGTGTACTATTTATTGATGCTATACTCTGTACATTATACTCTCTGTACATTGGTAGTATTCTGTGTATACTTTCCAGATGAACGTCTCACAGCAGAGCAAATGGATGAACAGAGGATCCAGAACGTGGCCTATCAGTATCTGTGCAGACTGGAGGAGGCAAAAAGGTCCGTGATCAGAACCAGAACTGGATCTGGTTTCCACAGAGTCGATGTCTCCTGACTTGTTCTGTGCTTCAGGTGGATGGAGGCATGTCTGGGGGAGGAGCTTCCTGTCCCCACTGAGCTAGAGGAGGCTCTGAGAAATGGAGTTCTTCTGGCCAAACTGGGACATCACTTCGCTCCAAGTGCCGTCCCCCTGAAGAAGATCTATGACCCTGAACTACTCCGATACAAGGTCTCATCTAGTCCAGAAGGCTGCTTCAGAAGAGTAGTCCTTGGTTCTTGGTAAACCAAAGTTAAACTGATGAAACAGATGAAAGTAACCAGCAGTGTGTTGATCTGTTCAGGCTGTGGGACTTCAGTTCCGTCACACGGACAACATCAACCATTGGAGAAATGCCATGACGTCACTGGGCCTGCCCACGGTCAGTGAGCACACAGCTGAACCTGAACCTGAACCCTGAATCCATCAGCTGATCTGTTTGAGTCTAACTCTTGTTTTTCTTCTTCTTAGATCTTCCATCCTGAAACTACAGATGTGTACGACAAGAAGAACATGCCGAGAGCAGTGTACTGTATCCATGCTCTCAGGTACACCTGTCTGTCTACCTGTCTGTCTACCTGTCTGTCTACCTGTCTGTCTCTACCTGTCTGTCTCTACCTGTCTGTCTACCTGTCTGTCTACCTGTCTGTTTACCACTCTGTCTACCTGTCTGTTTGCCTGCAGCCTGTACCTGTACAGACTTGGTTTGGCTCCGCCCATTCATGATCTTTATGGAAAAGTCAAGTTTACAGGTGAAGACAACACTCTATCAAACAGATGGACAGGCTCACATAGTATTTTACCTGTGTGTTGTTCAAACATCGTGTGTGGACCAATCAGAGCGAGTCTTTTTAACATGTGACTATGTGGTCAGAGGAGGAGATCAACAACATGAAGCTGGAGCTGGATAAATACGGCATCCAGATGCCGGCGTTCAACAAGATCGGAGGCATACTGACCAATGAGCTGTCTCTGGATGAAGCTGCAGGTGCTGGCCTGCTCTGATTGGCTGAGAGTTCACAGGTACAAGCGATCAGTCTAACCGTGATTCTGCCACCAGTGCACGCAGCAGTGATCGCCATCAACGAGGCGGTGGACAGAGGAGACGTGAGCATGTTGGCTGCTGCTCTCAGGAACCCTGCAGCTCTTCTTGCTCACCTGCAGGAGGAGCTAATGAGTCTCTACCAGGAAGTGCTGCAACAAGCCAGGAGGAGGAAGGCTGAGGCTGCAGCAGGCATGGTGAGCCCTGATTGGTCAGCCAGCTGCCTCTAGTGCTATGTGTCCTAGATGTTTATTGTTTGTTTGTTTCAGCGGGGAGGTTCTGAGGACATCTATGAGGAGTATCTGACTCAGAAGGAGATCCAGGAGATCCTCGACATGGTCAATGGTGAGAACAATGAGCAAGACACAAAAACCATTTGATTAATGGAACCTTCATCTTCTGACGCTGATCCAAAGTCTGATCTCAGAGGCAACAGGTCTAGGAGAGAAACCAAGACCTCCCTCTCTCCAGAGACGCTTTCTGGCTGGTCCTGGGGGACCCCAAGGAGTTCCCAGACCAGAGAAGATACATAAACATAGTCCCTCCAGAGATTCCTGGGGGACCCCAAGGGGTTCCCAGACCAGAGAGGATACATAATCCAGAGAGTCTTGGGGAACCCCAAGGAGTTCCCAGACCAGAGAGGATACATAATCCTTTCGGAGAGTCCTGGGTCACCCCCCCCACCCGCTTCCCCCATCTCCAAGGCTGAGCCCACCCAACCTATGAAGGAACTTCATTTTGGCCACTTGTATCCAGGATTTTGCTCTTTCAGTCATGATTCACACCTCATGACCACAGGTGAGAGTTGGAACGTAGACAGACCAGTAAATCCAGACCTTTGATTTTAGACTCAGCTCTTTCTTTACAACGATTGACCAAAGCAACTCCCTCATTATTGAGGACAAGACGTGTAGTCAGACGTCCTTATGTGGCCCTGTGGGCAAACATCCTTATATGGGCGTGTGGGCAGACCGCCTTATTTGAGCGTGGACAAATGTCCTTATATGGGCGTGTGGACAGATGTCCTCATATGGGCGTGTGGGCATACATCCTTATATGGGTGTGTGGGCATACATCCTTATATGGGTGTGTGGGCATACATCCTTATATGGGTGTGTGGGCATACGTCCTTATATGGGTGTGTGGGCATACATCCTTATATGGGCGTGTGGGCAGACCGCTTTATATGAGCGTGTGGGCAGGTAATGGTAATGGT